GCAAAGTCTTAAAAACCAGAGAGTGACAGAGCTTTGGTAGAGAGGGTAAAAAAAAGTTCCGCAAAGCTCTGCAATGAAAACTGCAAGAAATGGGAGCCATGCAGTTGGAATCACAGAGTGGTGGGGTTGGAAGGGACCTCTGGAGATCATCTCCTCCAACCCTCTGCTCCAGCAGGTCACCCACAGCAGGGTGCCCAGGGTCACATCCAGGTGGGTTTGGAATCTCTCCAGAGCAGGAGAATCCACAACCTCTCTGGGAAGCCTGTTTTAGACTCCGCCACCCTCACAGGAAAGAAGTTTCTCTTTATGTTTAGGTGGAACTTTTTGGGTTCCAGTTTGTGCCTGTTGCCCCTTGTCCTGTCACTGGGCACCACTGACAAAAGGTCTGGCCCCAGCCTCTTGCCTCCTGCCCTTTAGATATTGATCAGCATTGATCAGATCCCTTCTCATCATTCTCTGGGCTAAGCAGCCCCAGGGCTCTCAGCCTTTCCTTGTCACAGAGATCCTCCAGTTCCCTCAGCATCTTTGTAGCTTCCACTGGACTCTCTCCAATCATTCCCTGTCTCTCTTGAACTTGGGAGTCCAGCACTGGACACAATCCTCCAGATGTAGCCTCAGTAGGGCAGAGTACAGGGGCAGGAGAACCTCCCCTGACCTGCTGGCCATCCTCTTCTTCATGTGCCCCAGGAGACCACTGGCCTTCTTGGCTACAAGAGCACACTGCTGGCTCAGGGTTAACCTGTGGTCCACAAGGACTCCCAGGTCTTTCTCCATGGAGCTGCTTTCTATGATACAGATCATATTAAATTTTGGGGGAAAAACTGCTGGCACAGGGCAGGAAGGGGATGTCTAGCAATGATGCCATGCAACACAGTACAAAAGCACAACTGTGCTCTGGAGGCAGCTTGTTTGGCTTTGAAAGCAACATGGCCATGACACCTTCAGCACTCTACACCACCAGACAGCTTCCTCAGCCTGGAGTAACTGGGGAGCCTCTGCAGAGTGCTGCACTGCCACTGCAAAACTTGGCCAGGGCTCATTTCAGGATCCCTTCTCATGCCCAAAGGCCTCTACTCAAAAGGAAACTAGATGCAGCATATTTTTGGTTTGTATCTCTAAACATCCTGAGAACTTAGGGAAATCACAAGCTCCTATTTCTTATGGAGACAGTAACAAACTTCTCCACAGTATACTCAGCATTACTACTCTACTACACCAAAATTCAGAGAGAAAAGTGAAAAGCCTTCCTTGTGGAAAAAGAAACCTACCAAAAGAATAAATCCAATTCCTTGTTTGGTTGAAAGAAGGCAGCTCCCACAGAAGGAGTATTCTTAAAGCAAAAAAGCTTACAAACCACAATGACAATTCCCCTCCTGAAAGTTAGTAATGTCATTTCAACATAAAGTCTGGTACTTCAAATACAAAGATAAATTCTGTCTTACCTTGATAATACTTCCAATATGATTCTGTTGTATTAATATATCTGTTAATTCAGCAGTGTTAACAGGGGCTTTTAGAAACAACTGGAAAATAAGACACAAGTATTAGTAAGTTTGAAGCCTGATGGTATCTCCCATGGAACAAATGATAAGAGGAAAGAGCCTCAAGCTGTGCCAGGGGAGGTTTAGGTTGGACCTGAGGAACAATTTCTTCCCCTTGAGGGTTGTCCAGGGCTGTGCCAGGCAGTGGTGGAGTTCCCATCCCTGAGGGGTGTCAAAGTTGTGTAGATGTGGTGCTGAGGGACATGGGTCAGTGGGGACCTGGCAGTGCTGGGGGAATGGTTGGACTCAATGATCTGAAAGGTCTTTTCCAACCTAAACAAACCTATGATTCTGTGTATCATGGGCCACTTAGTAGAAGATAAAAGTCAGAAATTTATCTGACTTGTTATGTGATACTCTGTTCCATTTTTCATTTCAATTTAGTGAGTTTATTTAAATTCCTTCAATATAATATTGGAAAACCTAAAACTTTAATTTTTATAATTTTAAATGTCAATAATAAGAATTCAGCTTCTTGAAGCACTTGCTCCTTGACCCTCCAGAAGCTTCTGGAGCTGAGCATGGGCTTAAGACAGAGACAGACAAAAGAAGTCTGGAAGCTGCCACTGAACAGACACATAACTTGTATTTTTTTAAGGGTTATCATTCACAAAAAAAAAACCTCCAGGAAGCTGATTAACAACAAATGAGGTTTTCTGGGCAGCAACTAATACAATGAGTATGGAAAGACTATATACCCTGTGCAACAACAGCCCTACAGTTCATGATGTAAAGTTCTTGAAATGGTGGTTTAGGAGATACAGTCACTGTGCCTGTAATTATTTAATTTTCATGAGCTGAAGCACAGTAAAACTACAAATCAATACAGATAATGTGAACTGATGACTTTACATAACTCTTTAGGTATTATTTATTAATTAATATATCAACCAAGATAACAAGATGTCAAAGTACCTGCTGCAGTAATTTCTTTATCCCATTATAGTCATTGTCTGATATGGAATGTGCTTCAAATTCAATGTTCACTTCCTGGGGAAAAGGAGACCAGAGAATATCAAACACACTTGGCAAGAAGCTCTAGCAAAACAAAACTACACTATAAGAAAGTTAACATCAGAAATGGATCTGATTTCCATCGTGCAGGAATCTCAGCAGTTGGCAGGGTTACCATGTCTTCTGTCATCTTTAAAAAGCATTGGTAAAAGTAAAATTTTAAAGCTGTGTTGGGAACACACATTGAATGCTTTGTTCCCATCTGGTTCACATGATGTTCACCATGGCTTCATGGACTCTTAGTAGAGAGCCTTGTGCCAAGCAGAGAAGCTCTTCCAGCTGCAGGACTGGAGTGTAGCCTCGACTAAAGAGGAAGATTAGAGTAAACATTTAAATAATTATATCCAAACCCATATTTCTGCTATTTCCTCAGATCCTCCTGGTATAGTTAACCCCACTCTGGACGTCTGCACAGTAAGCACACAAGAGATCCTGCCACAGCAAGACAGCTTGTGAACTCCTGCTCCTCTTCCAGGACAAATGCTGGGCACCTACCAAAGGTTCTTACTGGAATTCTGTATTAATAACACCACTTTCCAAGCTTGTCTTGGCTACCTATTCTTCTCTGAACCACTGGTGAAGATCATCCAACTTTACCATGCCTTTCAGTTGTTGGTTTGGACTCCACCTTTTGAACATTCTGAACAACTGAGCCTTACTTTTGTCACCAACTAAGATTCATAAATCTCCCCAAATCCATACAGCCTCACAGGCCTGTTTACAATGTAGAAAACTTGGGCAGGTAATAAAAATCAGAAGACATGCTCAGATATTTTTCTTTGGTTTAGTAAAGCAAGCAAGGTCTGCAGAGGTAACTGAAGCACATTATTTACTGGAGAAGCTACCTGTGTAAGAAAACAGATTGTATCTCTGGTGTCTACAGCATTCATTCCTGGCATCCAGGAACTTTCTGACTGCTTTAAAATTCAAGGATCTCACTGAATGATTAAGCCAGTAAATTCTGAACAAAACACAGTTTATGCTGGTTCCAAAGACTGTGTAAATCATAACCATAAAATTGATATAAACCATGGGAGCACTAGATGTTCTAACACCTGTCTTGCTTCATGGCTTTCCCACTACCCAAAATAACAGCCTGGTATGAGAGCTTACAAACCCCCTATCTTTCATCTGTTAAAAAAAAAAGGAAAATAGACTCAAGATATATTTTGGTGTGTCCTGTCTCACTGCTCTGCACTTATTCTCCTCCCTCTGTGTTGCATCCAAAGCAAAGCAAA